TAGAATAAACAAAAAAAGGATAAAAGATCACCTTGTCAAAAACCCCTAGAATATAGGAAGAAAACATGACTATATTCATTTATAGCCATAAAGAAATGAGCTGTAAACAAGCATACCTCAATCCATTTAATCACAAAATCAGGTACTAAAATAAATTTTAAACTCGTAAGGATAAAATATCAACTAACCGTATCAAATTTTTTATTGATGTCAATTTTCAAAGCACATCTAGGTATAGAACTAACTAAGTGATATTATGTATTAGTTCCTGAGTCAACAAGATAACATCAAATATTTATCTTTTCAAAACAAAAGTAGTCTATAAAGGTCCAATAACCTCTTAAAAAAATCATATTCAATTTGTTCACAATGATTTTAGATATGTATTTGTACACCTCATTGCAACATGAAATATGTTTAAAGTCATTTATAATGGTTGGAGTTTCAACCTTAAGACCAAGGCAATCCTAGTAGCATTAACACATCCAGATAAAGTACAGGAATAAAAAAACACCTCATAACAACAATGAAGTCTTCACTAATAATGTTCTAACTTTTCTTAAATAATAAGGAGGTATAACCATCTAGTTTAAAAGATTTATCATTTGGGTTGAAAAATAAAAATTGTTTGATCTCATCATTAGTGATGCGTGACTCCAAAAGAGGATCATGAGCAATCCTACCATAGAAATATCGAGAGGAATTCTTTGTGATCATTTTTGAATATGTAGAAAACAACCCTTGAAAGTAGTACTATCAATTGACCTAGACCTTATTCCTCCTAAACTTGAGATCCTGTCTTATTAGTGAACCAATGGATGACTTTTCTCACTTGTCTATGTAGTATAGATCTATAGAAGAATTTGATGTTTTTTATCTCCCAAATTTAACCATTGAATCTAAGACCTTTACTTGTAAAAAGCTTTGTTATCCTTATTTAACTAAAAAAAACTCCTTTATAGGCTCTCTCTCTGCCCACTAATACTCATTAGTCTGAGGAGAACAATCAAGTATATATTGTATTATAGTTCATCTAGTTTTTGCCTCAATCACACAACTAGTTATGTGGCTAATGTGTTGGTGGTGCAAAAACTTTAACTTAGGCTTTAGCAGTTCAAGTCTCTTGTTAAACTTGTACGTAGGGTTAACATCCATAGAACGTTGTCATATCTCTGCAACTAAACCCAAGAAATGATCCCTATGAGCCATAGATTTGAAAACTTAAAAGATGTTTTAACTTTGGGTAGAGAATTAATGAATTAAACAACCATAACATTATAATATGAGTAATCTTTAAGAAGGAATTTAGAATAACTAACTAGTCAAGTAAATATCTAACGTGTTAGCAAAAATCCAATCTAGCTTCTCAAGAAAAGTATCTCCGCCATGTTGGTCTCTTTCCCATAACCAAGTTAGCACCATCCTTATTTTTGAAACAAAAGATCAAGAAACCTTGTTGTGTTGTGATTAGTACTTAAAAGTGCATTCTCATTAAGGATTTATGTCATCATATTGCACCTAAAGTATCATTAAATTCCCTAACAAAAGCATGTTTTATATTAGCAAGTCAAAATATAATATACCTTTAATTCATGGTAAATATTCATCCTAAATGCAGGTCTATCACATAAATAAAAGGATTGATTGATGAGTTTAAGGATTGAAATTGAAAGGATAAAAAGAAGGCCAAACTTAGCAAAGTGTTGCTGGTGCATTCCAAACTCGAACACCGTTCAGTAATTTGATCATATCTGGAGCTGTAGATATCAGATTTAGGTCCATTTTATATCGATGGAAAGGTAAGACATAGACCTACAACTTTCATATGAAGTCAAAGACTCAGTTCTGCCGTTTTCAAGCCCAAATCTTAGCAACAACGAAGACGTCGGAAGCTGTCCTGCAGCTCAAGCACTATTCGGTTTTTGGCTCATATCTTGAGTTCTAGAAGTCCAAATGAGCTCTGGTTTTTTTTTATGGAAAGCTGAGACAATTGCCCACAGATTCCACAATTCAGTTGGCTATAATTCTGATGTGAGCAATGACGTTTTGGCCAGCCAACAATATCAAAAATCAGCCCACAATATCAAAAAACCAGCAGCCATTAATGTCAAAAACCAGCCACCAAATCAATGGATGCCCACCAATTCTTCAATCAATCAATAGTTCTGAAACTTAGCCTATAAAAGGAGGCATTGTCCATGTATTTAGTCATATTAATTTTCAGATCAAAGTTATCTTCTTGCTTTCTCTCTACATCTTTGTAATGTTCAAGTTTTCTTTTATGCTATAGTAATCTCTTGTTTATGCTCTTTCATTTCCTTTCCTATACTTAGTTAGCTTATATTATGTTTATGTTCTTATATTGTTTATTTGTGTTTTTCTCCTTCTTAATGTTTAGCTAAGTTAATTATGTCAAGGTGAAAAGGTTTCTCTAATGGTGTTAGAATAGGTATAATATAAACTCAACATGAGCTTTAAATGTTTATATCCAAGAAAGATTGTTATTAACATGTTTTATCTTTTTATCTTACTAATTCTTAATACCTTGCTTATTAAATGTTTAATTTAGATTTGTGTTGTATAATATTTGGTACATCAAATGCTTGATCTTTCATAGTTTTCGGCCGAAATCGTTATTATGATAGAAACTTGATTTGTTGTTAACATAAACTAGCAACATGAATGCTTGATGATATTTATAAGTATGGTATTACTTATATAAGATAATTAATATGATCATGTTAGTAATTTATAATGAGCTAATAACGAGAAATCATCCGATTAGAACCTTCTTTGTGTGTGGTTTCTAGTTGAGTAATAAAAAGAGTTTATATTATATTTATTTGAAATACCATTAGTGAATCCTATAACCTTGACATATGTTTTGTTATTGTTTAATCCTTACATCAATATCACATCCCAAAATTCTCTTCAACTCTTTTTCTGTTATTATTCTCTTCAACTCTTTTTCTTTATTTGTAATTTATATAATTCACCTCCCTGTGGTTCGACCCCCGTCTTGCCGGGTTATTTTACTTTGACACTCCTGCACTTGGGATAAGACATCAACTCTTTGATCGTGTCATGTTGTCATGACACTCTCAAGGCCATAACTCTTCCATACTTAGAATGATATAGAATTGAGTGCATGATAGGGCATCTTATAACTTAGAAAGAATCCCACCAAGCACTAGTTCCATTTGGATGCACTCTCATCAATGACATTATTGAGAATGTCCAAAATGTTGTCAATTTCTTGTCAAGAAAAATAGAATATCTTGGCATGGGTTGTAGCATTTGAGACCTTTACTTTGTTCGCCTATGAAGTTTTTGGGCCTGAATTGGGGGTGGTTATGTTTTTGTAAGCTGTGGTGGTGTTTTGTGTGGGGGTAACTTGAGTTTTTTTTTATGATTTAGGGTTAGTCTCGGTGTTTTATTATGGTTAGTGAGTTATTTTGCTCGTGGTTGTGGTGTTTACAATGTTTATTGTATTTATGGAGGTGTTAAAGGGTTTTTTGGTGGGCATAACTAGGTTGGAAGCAAGTTATATAGTGAACCAGTCAACCGTTTTCTAGTGAACTAGTTGACTAATTTCTGGGTGATTTGTATCCATGTCTGGGCAGTAACTTTAAAACAGCAGCACACACAATAGAGATAGAAGTAGCTAAAATCCAATAGTCTAGTTCAACACAAAAAGTATAGTATAACATATCAAAAAACCAGAGTGATTTAACGGTTAAATCAAACACAATCTGCAAAGAGGCATTCAGATATGAATATTGACTAGAGGTATTATGAGGAGTAAAAATCTTTCAAGAATGATGGAATTTGATCTCCACTTGTTAGACTTGAGAGAACCTCCGAGTGAACATCTATGTGAAAAATAGATTTGATCCAATGGTGGAACTAAGTGAACCAAGTAACTATAATTGCTTGAAATCCAAATTCTCCATAAAACTTGCGATAACTATATCTTTTAAATGACACCAAATAAATCAAATTTGTTCAGTGAAATTATATAGGAGGCACCGAGTGTGTTTTGTATTGTGATAACTTTTGTAATTGTGGTTTGAACAAAGTTGTTTTATAAAAAACACTTTTAATTGAAGTTGATTTGATATTTATATATATTTGAACAAAAAGTAATTTAATGTGTTTGGTGATATATATTAATATTGATAGTTTTTAATTTAAATATTATAAATCTAACTACTGTTATTATATCATAAAATAAATAATACTTTATACAAAAAAAATTTATTATTTCATTAAACTATCTATAATTTCATCATATACGAGATTCATTCATACAACAAAATCAGGTAAAATATCATTAGAAACAAAATTGGAATTATGATGAAATTATTATATTATCATGTAATATTTTTCTAATTTATATAGTGTTATTAAATAATATTAAATTTTAATTTTTTTAATAAAATATTATTTTTTTTAAATAATTTTTTTACTGTTCATATAAACCGTGCAAGTGACTAAGATCACTGTACTGTTTACGTGTTAACAAATGTGCAGAGTGAATATAAACCGTGCAAGTGACTAAGATCACTGTACTGTTTACGTGTTAACAAATGTGCAGAGTGAATTAATTCACTCTGCACTGTTCACTTCACAAAAGTGAATGATACCGGCAAAGTAGGTGTATCTTGTTTCTCCCTGACCTGTATTTCTGTGCGATTTTCGATAGGTCTCATAAACTAAAAACACTGCTTCCCACTTTAACCAAACATTATAAAATTATAGTTTCTTTAAAACGTAACCGCTACTGTGTAAACAGAGCTCTAATGTCGTAGAAGCATATTCTCTCTCTCATCTCTCTTTCAGATATTCTCTCTCTTCCATTATCAGTTAAGTTGAATAGCGGGAATTATTTGGATAACTTTCAGGACCATGTACTGTAATTTGACAATACCATCTGTATAAGCCAAAAAAAGAAACACGTTCGATAATGATCTTTTGGCACAAAAACAAGGCATTTTTAGAACACAGTATACCAAATACTCATTATGGATTTCAGCTACGTACAGTTACAGACACAACATTCTCAAGCCAGTGGTTTGTGGTCCTATAAACAAATGGCTTTCTTTTGCTTTCTTCTGCTAAGCAGCCTAAACTAGCTAGCTAGCTCATCCGTTCCAACAACAAGCTCCTTCCATTTTCTTTCAGCTTTCCTTGCCCCCACTTTGCTTTAATGAACCAACCATTGTTCATGGTTCTCCATCATTTTTATTTCCTACAACCTTTCTTAGAGTACCAATCATGAGGTCCTTTTTTCTTTCAAAGTACAAGAGCACAAGAAGCATATATTAATTACCAAGCGCATAGATGCAGACATATTGGATATCTTTAGTCTTGCAATGTAAGAAATTTGATTGTTTGGTTGGGAAGAATTAACAATGGTTTTTGCAACATCCATCTATACGTGTGGAGGGAAATATTTATAGTGCCTGGAATTATCAGAATTGCTGAACTATTGAATCTGTATTCTTGAGATGCTGATTAGTTTCCAAAATTACATCGCTGGTCTGGGACTGATAGAGTCCTCGGGAGACGCCTGAAAAAAACACCATGAATTAGAAAATGCCAAGTACAGGTAGAGGCATAGTTTATTTTAGGAATGTTTGTGTCTAGCTACCTGTGAATGTTGAAGACGAAAAGAGAAGGTGATTAACTTTAATTGAACCCCAGATTTTGAAGGTTTTGTGAGTCAGCATCCCAGAAAGGTTAAACTTGCTGCATTTGAGTTATTATATGTCAGGATCAAGGGCGTGATACAACGCCAAGAAAGTAGCAAAGGGTTTAAATCACCAAGTGTAGATGCAATTACAGCTAATGGATCAAGACATAGGTCATTGATGAATGCTGAAGAGCTTGTAGTTTTTACTGGCACAAGTTGGGGAGGATTTGTCGAAGATTTTGGCTCGCTGCTTGTTGCCTGTCGTTGCATTAGATTTAGTTGAATGTGGTCAAATTGGAAATTGTTGATGGCATAGTGGCTGCTGGAAAACTCTTGAATGTCCGTTTGGTATTGTGGTTATAGCTATTGAGTTAAATATTTTATCATAAATTTTAAAGATGCATCCCATTAAAAATTAATTTCATGCCACTTTGCTAAGGCTAAAAATTATTGCTTTTTTTTTATTTATTTATATGGGGTGTCCGGGCCAGCTTACGCGCACCACGACTAATCCTCACGACCCACTGAACATTCTGCAAGCCCAATGAATAGGTAAAGCACCGCGAGGGTGACAAACGTGCACGGTAAGGCTCGAACCCAGGTGCGGAGAAAGGGAACAAGCCCCTCCCACCACTGGACTAGAACCTTGCAAAAATTATTGCTTTTCATTGCCCCTCCCATTGCCATATGTGCAGAGTGAATGAATTAATTCACTCCACATTGTTAACTTCAAGCAAGCAATAAATAGTGTGGAGTGAATTATTCACTCAGTATTATTCATGTGGCCAGTGATTTTATTATTCATGATAGTGTTGACAAGGTAAAAAAAAAATCTAATATTTTTAATTATATTTTTTTAAAAAAATTAGTGTTTAATATTATTCAATGATTCTATATTAATTAGAAGGAAATCGCATAATGATATAGTATTTGTAGAATTTAATTGCAATTTTAATTTTATTTTTAATAATATTTTAACTTATTTTATTGTACGCTCAAAAAATCATGAAAATTATAGTTCTTATCAGATGAATTTCATACGTGATGAAATTATAGATAAGTTAATTGAACAATAAAAAATATTTGATATAAAGTATTATGTATTTAATAATATAATAGCGGTAATTAAATCTATAATATTTAAATTAAAAACCATTCATATTAATATATATATTTTTTAGTTATTTTATAACCTCAATTTGAAAAGCATGTTTAATCAAAGACATTAAATTATTTTTTATTCAACTTTAATT